ACTTTTCTTGTTTTACCATTGGTTTGGGTTTGTATTTTGTTTTCTTTTTTGATGTTCCCCTCTGAAAAAAAAAAGAAAAAAGTCTGTTTTCTCCAGATGATTCTCTCTTCTAATTTTATTCACAGCTTGCCTATCTCACTGCTGATTCCACAACAAATTGTTCTTTTTATTCTTCAAATCAAGAAAAAGACTGATGTTCTTTAGTTCATTTGTGTATAATAAAATTCTTGGCAACTTGTTGACAAGAGGTAGCTATATTCTGATTTTCTAGTAGTTTCCATTTCTCCCAGATTTACCCTTTTCTCTGATTTATGTAAGTGTTCCAGCCCAAGTTGACATTTTAGTACCTAATATTTTGTGTAATATTTATTTCATACGAAGTTTAAACATCTCAAAAACTCAACACTTTAGTCTTTCTCTTCACTATGTTTCATCCGACTTTTGCCCAAATATTTAGATCAAAATGAATGTTGCTAGTAAATCCAGTTTTTGGATAATATATATAGTGCTAGTAAATCAGGTTTTTTATCCTTTATTTGGGAACCGCTGAGCTTGGAATTAGAATGGCTGCTGAATGGAAGTGAGCTGGAATCACACCCAGCCTTCCTTGGGGCAGGCCCAACAGGCAGACAGGACATTCCTGATAGGGAGCATTCCCCATCCTTGCTCTGCCTGGCTGAAGTGACTGAAGGGACCAGGCAATGGCAGCAAGTTCCTGCCCAGCACAGCAGGAGCATCCCCTCCGTGACTGTCCCACCTGTCCAGGTGCCCTGGCATAGTCGGCGTGAGGCTGTGCCAAGTTACAAGTGATAGGCCTCGAGCTGGGCCAGAGGACTTTTAGATTAGATACCAGGAAAAATTTCATCACCAAAGGAGTGGTCAAGCGCTGGAACAGGCTGCCCAGGGAAGATGTGGAGTCTCCATCCCTGGAGGTACTTAGAAGACATGTAGATGTGGTACTTAGGGACACGGCTTAGAGGTGGACTTGGCAGTGCTGGGGTAACAGATGGATTCAGTGATCTTAGGGGTCATTTTTATGATTTTACTTCATGATGTTTTATGATTTTACTTTACTAGAAATGAGGATAAAACCAAGATAGGTATTTTAATGAGAAAATACCAAAATCTCCCTCAAGATTTTTAATTACTCTGTTTCATGAATCTGCCTCTGCTTGAGCAACCAAAGCAGGATTGGCAATGTGGACCAGCAGTGCATTTCTCTAAGGTGTTTGATTGCACTGTCACTGCAATGAGAACATAGGTATAGTCTCCAAATTAAGCTTTGGTTGGAGCAGGTTTTTACAGTAGCTAAATGTTGACCCAGCTACCACCTAACTTGATGAATTTCAGTATCTGGAGTATCTTTTTTGCCATGTCTTACTTCTTCAGTTTTGTAAATATTTTGTGAGGGTTTTTTTTTTCCTTAAAAAAAATCCAAAATGCATTTCTAGTACTTGTAACACATTTTCTTCGTAGGACTTTGGGGATATTTAATCTGATTTCTGTTTGTTTAAGTTGTTATATGAGTCTGACAGGATAACACAGAGATAAAGCAGAAATCCATCTGGTTTGTTAATAAATTTTGGGTTATTAATAAAGATTTGTCAATCTTGCTACTGAATTACTTGACAGCTTTTCTATAAAATTTGCATTTTGAAATTACAGCCATTTTGCTGTACATGAACACATAACCACAAGATATGTTAAAAAAGGCAATACGGTTAGGATTGCATGGCTGATGGCAATCTGGAAGAAATGGAGTGGTTTTTGCTCAGTGTTCACAAGCAGACACATTGTTTTAATCACACTGCCTTGATCGTGCTTCTTAGCTCTGCCCTCTGTCAGTACTTGTGGCGGCTGATGGGGCTGTAACTCAGGTGTGCTTGTGTGCTGCTCTGTCCCACCATTAAGACCTACCTTCTGTAACTTCTCTAATTCTTTTTCTTCTCTCCATTCTGCTCTACTTCTTCTGTATTTTTCTTTATTCCTGGATTTCTCAGTCCCCTCTGGGCTGAGCTCCTTTGTGATCCTCCCTCGCGGGGAGTCCCGTTTATCTCAGTTCTCTGGGTTTGAAGAAAACTCCCAAGCTCGTTAGAATCTTGTTTCTCATGTTTATTAGGATGTTATTACAAAATTTGGCAGGTCTCTCCAGACTATCTGCACAAGTTCAATTCACCTCAGCCTGGCTCCTTTTGCTCTGATGGTACAAAATGGCCCCGAACCACGCAGCTGCCTCATCCTTATATCTATTTTTACCCTGTTAACTACGGACATGTGTATTGTTTTTATATTTTAACAAATAAGTTTTCTATATCTACTTACCAAACTAAAACTGCGACTAACTCTCAACCAATCATTCTTTGTGCTCCCAAAAACTGCAGAATCATGGAGAAGAAGGAAGAAGAGCTAAAAACCACACCTTTTTTCCTCCATCTTTATTCCATGTATTAAACCCCTCTAAAATCTATATTTTTCACCTCAGCGGCATACTAAACATTATACCACCTTCTACTTAATTTTTTATAAATCCTGGTTTACCCAGGGGTATTTGGAAGCCTTTCTGTCAATGGCAAATAGGATTGATATTTTTTTGGAGAATAGGACAAACAGAGAAATGTCTCTTCATTTCTGGATTCCTACACCTTCTGCCTGTACCTTAGGCTGGCTTCCAGAGGTTGCTGGGGCATGGCACGCCTGCAGTTGAGGGTAGCAGGAGGGTACCACGATGGAGATTCTTCACCAGATTTCATCAGTAGCTTTTAGCTTCTAAAGTCTCTTTATCTTTTTCTCAGTGACCCATAAGCCTCCTCTTGCAAGTGAACTAAATGAGAAAATTAAAGAGAAACTGCCTAAAGAGATTTACTTACTGTATGAAAATCTGCTGTGGTGATTGGCTGCATAAGCCTGAGTGACGAGCTGGAGAGGGGAAAAAAGCAAACCTGCGGCTGTTTGGGATTTATGAATGTGTGACACAAGCAGCAGCTCCATGAAAACAAATGAGCTTCAAAAAATATTGAGGAAAAAATTCACATGTGTTAATAAAATGAAGAAGTAGGAGTAATATTTGTGTTTCTTAAGAGAATAAAATATCCTACCTAAAAAGCATATATGTGATGTCTTGTGCTGTTCAGTCGGGATTATTAGCTAGCACTAAGCTGTGCAATCAGTTGAAGCACAAGCTTTTCGTCTCTGGATGCTTGAATTATTCTTAATATTTTTCAAAATCTAAATTGGGTCATAAATGTTTAGGCAGTTTCAGATTAGCAGCGTAGGGGGTGGAGGGCATTATAAAACACACCATGTGATAGAACAGTTGAGTGCACTGATTATTAGGCTGTGAAAGTAGATAGAGCCAAGTGGGAGAGCGCCTTCACACCAGGAATGAGGGGCACTGGCTCTGCAGCAAGGGCAGAATCCTGCACAGTGCCTGCCCATACCATGCATGACTGGCTGATTATCTTGGTCCTCCATGGAGCCCTTGACAGCCCTGTAGGTACTCAGCAGATGTTTTGAAAACATCAGCTGGTCAAGAATCAGCCCTTGTCACTAACAAAGGTCTTACAGAGCTGGTAAATACCTAAATAACTAATACTCCTAAATAACTGTGGGAAAACCTAGAAAATGTCCTCCCTGGTGGAGGCCACCCTGCTACAGAGAAGGGAGAATACAGAAAAGCAAAGATTAGGCATGAGAAAAGATTATCAAAAAAAGAATGAAAGGATTGTTTTGTGTCTGCATTACATCAGAGAAAAATACTGAGATAGGAGGGGGGGAAATCCAAATGCACCAAAACAGACATGATGTAAGAAACCAGGCTCTTTAGCTGGTGTGTTTAGCTAGCACATCGTCAGGAGACCAGGAGAACTAAATAACCTAAATAAAGAGTCTAGAACAGGAAAGTAACAAAAACCACCCCCAAAGCATAAAAGCAAGTCTGTTTACTCTCAAATATCATCCAGTGTTTGTCTATTGTAACTTAATAACCTTAAGTAACCTTATACTGAGGTGTAATAAGTACACCTCACTAAGTTAACCTGCATTGTTTTGTCATCCATTTAGCAGCTGAAATAAAAGATTTTATGGAAATCAGGGAAGGTTGACCAGCCTGATATTGAGCCAACTGCAAAAATTGGCTGAAGTGGTTTAAAGACTGAGCAGACAATGGGTGACTTTCCTGTAATTGTGTTTTGGAAAACAGCTGAGCTGTTACAGCTTGAGCTTTCAGGAAAAAAGAATGTGGAAAATCTCAACAGGAAGTGTTCTATGTAGCAAATACACACACACAAAAAAGTTAATATGGAGCCCTGAGGACTTTGGGAACAACTTCAACCTTCTCTTAAATGTTGTGGCTTCTGTCACTATTATTATTCATAACAAAAATAACTTCTATTTTTTAATCATTTAGAATCACTGATGTTACTTATTCACTTATTTATCTGTACATTGTTTTGCTTTACACTCTGCATTGTACTGCTCAGAAATGCTGCAGAAAAGGAAGGTGATGCCTGATATTAATCAGGTGCATGATGTTCACTCCCTTATAAATTGGAGTGAGATGGAATTTAATAATTCCAATGTGTCAAGCTTTCTTTTGAAAGTATGGGAAATAAGGGAGCTTTTTTATCTTCTGATGTATGATGTTTAATTAAGTTATTGTCTTTCTGCAGAATGAAGTCAGAGAGACATAGGGTCATGCGTGCTCAAAATGCTGACTGGTTTAATAGATCAAATGGTGAACTAGCACTTTGTTTTGGACACAGACAAGGTCTTGAGCTCTTACAGCATGTTGATTGTTCTTTCCTAGCTGCTCCCTGTGATAATGGAATGCAGGGTGGTTATTGAAGTTTTTGTCTGAGAGATTACCCTGTTAACCTGGTACTCCAGCAAATTGTCATATTCTAGCAAACAGGCAGAACATTATGCAAGAGAGTACTTCAGCTCAAAAATCTGCTCAGTGCACAAGCACACTGTGGTTTTCATTTTATTTTACTGTTTTGTAGGATTGCATTGATGTGGGTTGGTGGGAAGGAGAACTCAATGGCAGACGAGGTGTCTTTCCAGATAACTTTGTCAAGCTACTCCCTTCAGATTTTGAAAAAGAGGTAAGCAATATATTATTTTCACTTGAAAATTCAGAATGAAAGTAGAGCTGAAAGAAATCTTCTTTCAGATATGTGATTTTGACAATGTTTTACTTCTCATCTTATAACTTAAAAGGAAAAAAAATCTGGGTTAGAAGAAGAATGTGTGGCACTCAAGGTCATCTTATGGAGTTTCCTTGAAGGGTTTGATTTGCCCATCCAGTCACCCCACCTTCATTGTGCTGCTCTGAAAGCCCTTTGTCCTGTGTCCTACAAGTTTGAGAGAGAGAAGAACTGGAGGTCCCAGCACTGAGTCATATGATGCAAAGGCATCCAGAATTCTTTAATCTTCTCCATTGATTTTGTGGTGGAATATGAGAAGTATATATATAAATATATAAAAATATGAGATTTTAACAGTGAAATTTGAAATATAATAAGCTTTTGGTATATCAGAGGCATGTTTCTTTACCTCTCAGGATTACTAAAAAAGAAGGTATGAAACCTATGCAGAAGTTTTTTCAGCTCCTATTTATTTGAAAAGGATGGTATTGCCAGACAATATTTAGAAATCTTGTGGTTTCCTGGCATAAAGTAATGGATTACTTCCCCCCAAAGTCCATTCCATTTTTAGGAGCCTTTTGAGTCATCAGTGGGATATTACAAGCTTGCAATCAGGCTTTTGATGAGTATTTCACAGTGACAGTGCAAGCCTTCTGTGATAAAACCAAAATTTACTGACGCCCAGCTTCACTCTTTGGCAATAAAATTGGATGCCGAAGGCAAAAATTAAATAACTTGGAAAGCTTAATAAAGCAACTATTAAATAACTCACAGAGGCTAACATGATATTTATTGAAAGGGAAAGGAGAAGAGTAGCAAAAACTGTGGGAGACGAAAAGGCAGTTCTACAGCAAAGTGCATATCCTGGCTTTAGGCCTAAAAATAAAAGAAGGTGATTTGTAGAAGAGGCAGAAATCAAAAGCCTGAAGACATAGTGAGCCTATTATAGAAGAAAAAAAATCCTTACTGGTATCCTTTTTTGGTGGAGTAATTATTCAGTCTTTTTGAACTTAAAAATTATGTATCTTTACAGTGATTTTTAGAGTACAATTGAATATAACTTGTAGAATAAATTGGATATTCAGATACTTGGAAATTGCAGCTAGGTTTGCTCTAACCATGAAAAATAAAATTTTATTAATTTTTGAAATGCCACAGATCTGGCCACTTGAGTAAGTAACTGGTAGGACTATAGACCATCTGTCTGTTCTTGAATCAATGCTAAAAGGGAAGGAGATAAATACTTTACCAGTGACTTTGTCAGGTATTTTCTGATGTGATCCAGAGACCTTGGATTCCATCCCATGGTCTGAAAGTATTTGTTGCAGTAGTTCTTCTGTCTGTTCAACAAAAGCTTGGGATCTCTTCCCATCTTCTTGTTCAGGCCCTAGTTTTCCAAGACTGACTCTTTTCCACACTTGCCTATTTGTTCCAGGTCTTTTCTATTCACTGCCTAGTCCCAGTCTCCACCTCCCAGGTGGTCTCCATTATAGGATTTTCCACTGAGCTCACTACCTGAGTCCAAACCACCATCTGGATTTACTTTCTACCCCTACACCAAATTTCTTTATACACCTTTTTTTTCTTCTCCCCTTTTTCTCTTTGTCCCTGCTCTGTAGCTCTGTTCTCTTCTTGTCCAACCAGTCCTGGTTTCCTTTCTGTTGGCCTAATTTCTAGTCTGTCTCCATCACCTTCCTGGTTATCTCATCCAGGCACAGACCCTTGTAAATCCTTCTCTCTTCCATGTTTCCCTAAGGAGTCTTTTGAGGCTCCTCACGTTGCACCCTTTCTGACCTTGACCTGTCCTTTTGAAACAATCTATTTTCCTCTTCAGCTTTCACTTAAAGCCACTTTGTTACATCAACTCTTTTTCCTTTGTGTTTGTCTACATAAGTGCTTTGGTTTTAATCAGGAGTGACTGTAGTGAATCTGTCACTTGTCTGTCTGCCCTTGTTATGCTTTGGAAGACACATCTCAGGGACTTAGACTCCTTACAGGAGAGAGCTAAGCCAAAAGATGTGCTAAGGGAGTGCATCTCTTGTATTCCAGCTGCTGATGTATGGCCAGTCAATGGGATCAGTCTCACACCACTCTCCAATAAAACCCCAAATGCCTGTATTGTACTGTTGAATCCTCAGCATCAACTATTTCACTCTGCAGCCACTATCAACAGAACTCCTAATGCCTATCACAGGACATTCACTGTCTCTGTCTCGTTTCCTTTCCAAATTTTTCTTCACTTTTCTGCATTTAAACCTTAAACCTAAATTCTTGTAGAAGTGTCTCTGAGAGTTTAAGGGACTCATTGTTGGTGGACAATGGCCCATGGCAGCCAGGCTGTAGAAGATCGCTCTGATCTCCTGAGTTCTTAACCACAGCTTTCTCAGGTTGATGACAAAAGGTGAGCTGGTCAGGGTAAGATGGTAGAAGAAACTTGAAGGTTGCTGGATGACAACTTTGAGATTCAGGATGTTAGGCTTACTCTGTCTGGGCAAAAACTGGTATTTTTTTTCTCCATAGATGAATAAATTCACTAGATTTGAGAGAGATCCCTTGGAAGGGTATGTGGCAAGCGCTCAGCCTTTACAACAAACCTGCTCTCTTTCAACACTCAGACCAAGATCTGAGAGTTCTAGGGCAGACACTGAACTAATTACTGCAAGTGAACAAAGCAACTGATCTTTCTCAAAAGCTTTGGCAGATAGATAGAAAATAATTGGAGGGCGGGCAGGGATCAATAAGAGTTTGAGAGAAAATACTAACCTAAATGGTTGATTGAAGTTTGGCAGTGTATATCTGGAAAAAATCATTTTATTCCACATGTGTTCCACAAGACAATATACATTACTACATAGCCAGCAATGTAGTGAAAGTGATTGTGATTAATCTGTAGCAAAGGAAAAAAGATGAACATCAGGAAAAAAGGATGAACATATGGAAAAATATATAATTTTTTTTTTTACTTACAATTTTTTTACAATAATCTTGCTAGTTTGTTGGGGTTTCTTTAAAGTGAGAGATAAAGTATGTTATTTGATGTAGCACGATGCTCCGTTCGGTTTTGCACTCATTCCAACATACATGTGGTGACTGCCAGCGTGCTGTGCATGCATTCTCACACGCCAGCACAGAAAAAAAGCCATCAGTCCTCCAGCCTGCAGGTGAAGAGGAATTGTTCCAGCACTACCAGAAACTTTGGTGATTGTGTTTCTCAGTCTTACCATTACAGATCTATTAGGAAAATCGTCATAAAAGAAAAGGTAAAAGTATAAAAAGAACAGATTAGTCAGAATAATTTGTTTCATTTCACCAAACGTCTAAAGTTCTGATCTTTCACATCTGGAACTTTAAATATATCCTAGTAAGTGAATAAAGAGTAACTTCTGCTGTATTTGGTTCTGCGTTTTTGCCTCATTTATGATCTGAAAATACTTCAGGTTTTGCCTCATGTATCTTGGAGTTTCTTTGTGTTTTTGTTGGGTTTTTTGGTGGTTTTTTTTTGCAAAATGTGTAAGAATATTTACAAGGTTAAATTTTAAAGAAATAGACTTCTTCATTAGATCAAAGGTCATATATTCCTCCAGTCTTAAGGTACATAAAATGAACACTTTTAACCCCTCAGCAGGACATTTCAGGTGCTAATATAAAAAAGTTATTTTATTTGTCAATGCTATTTTCTCTCTTCAAATTCATTTTAATGAAGTTATTTCAGGAGAAATATGTGGCAGATCTGTAGTCTCATGACTTGCAATTATTAATGTTAAGCACTTTAACTCCAACCTCTGTATGAATGAGATTTACAGGCCTTTTGAAGCAACCTGTTTTCTTCTGTTGTTAAATTTTAGAGACCGAAGAAACCACCACCTCCATCAGCTCCTGTCATCAAACAAGGATCAGGTAAAATGCAGTTGACTTTTTACAGCACATGTCAGTGAGCACATCTCAATCTAAATTAAGTGTATTCAAATTTATATAGAATCCATCTGTATTAAAATTGACAATCAGTTGTCTAGACAACAAGTAATAAATCACAATCAAAATGGAAATAATTTGTAACCCTGAAAGACTCTGGTGGGCTTTAAAAGTATTGCAGTCAACCATCTATACCACTTCAAAATGATTTAATCATTAAACTTAATCATGTTAAATCAAAGCAACGGTGATACTTCAGTTTTTCAATTTTTTTTCGTTTTGTTCACTAACTGCAGTTGATTGTGTGCATGTCCTTGCAGTACAGACACATTATGTGGATTCTGATAATACCTGCAGGAGGAAACTGCATTCACAGCAGATCTGATTTATTCTAGAGACACAGAGCTTTTTAGAATACCTATAAAATAGTATCATACAGTGGTCTCCTCTGAGCTGCAATCTAAGGCTTGCAGATCTGCATGAATGCTGGATCTGACTGGCTGCTCCAGGTTAGAGGCCATAGATTCTTGGTTTTCAACACTTTTGTAGCTCCAAGTATGAAACTAAAAGGAGTTACTCTGAATGGTTATGTAGATAAAGGTGTCACAAATGCATTAAGGGGTGATTATGTTTTCCAAACAGACGAGTTCTAGCAAAACCAAATTTGTGATATGTTATACAGAATTGTGTGTAGATGCTGAGAGCTGTGCACACTTCTACTTGTAATTTTAAAATGACCTCTCCATACTAATTTTCAAAAGTGCCTGCATGATTTATTTTCATCATGAAACTTAGAAACAGTTAAAGAATCTACACATTTGACAGTCCCGAACTCATAAACCAAATTCCAGTTCCATTAGTGTAAAAATACAAATCACAAGGGGATGCTCTCAGAGTTTTCATTTGTATTGCAGTTATGGTGGAAACATAACATAACTGGAATTCTTTAATCTCTTAAGTCCAGTCAGTTTGTAAAAACCCTGCAGCAGCACTACTGCTTCCCCCACTGCAGGGACACATTAAAAACCAAAACAAATATGTCAAATCTCCAGATAGTTTTCTTGTTACTGTGATGTGTTCCAGCTTTTGGTACTTTAAAAAGTAAATTTTCCTCTCTTACAGAGGAGAAATGTTAGTAGAAATGCAACTTAAACCAATATACAATTTACTGTGAATCAATATGCTATAATTTAACTTGTTTGAATTTGTCATGCAGTTCTTTGACTACAGAATCATGATCATAAATATTTGTGTTTCTTATCCTGGTTTGTTCTTCACTCTGTCTTGAGACTCATGGAAACATAAATTTGATTTTAAATCAGTGATAGTGTCCAGAGAGAGCAGTATGACTTTGCCATCTAGTGGTGGTTGTATAACGATGTCTTAGTGACCACTGATGCTAAAGCCTGACACGTTTTGTAAAAACTCTATAGAACTTTATATTTATTTAAATTTATACTCCTATAATTAGAGAATAACACTTTTAATAGGTACCTGTTCACATTTAATGCTTAAACTGTGTCACCACAGCAGGATAATGTACCTATTTTCGGAAGGAAAAATGGTTGCAAAAAGGATGCAGACAATTTGATTAAGGCCTTCTAAGTCTATGTCAAAGCCAAGACTATTGCAGTTCTTTCTTTTCATACTCAGTTTGATACATATTTAGAGCTGAAAATCATCATATGTTTATTACCACCTTGACATCCTCTACTTTGTAAAATTATTTCTTCACTGAGATTACACTGTATTTTACCACATCTCCACATCAAGTCTTACTGTTGATAGTAGGTACCAACTTCAATAATGCCTCTGCATATTTGACCATCACAGTGTGATGAAGAAATTTAAAACTGTCAGTTGCAGCCTAAATAATTAAATGTCAGCATCTTCTGATGCAGAGCATAAAATTAAAGCAGAGAATTAGAACTTGTCTTTGTAGTACAAGTGGCATATGTGTAAAGAGGTATCTACATTATTATAGAGATAGAAATTTATAATCTCTGCAGCAGTAAACTGCCAGGACCATCTGTGCTGCACTACTTTACAAAGCAAGGTGAAAACTGGAGAGCCGAATTTAGGAGCACAAGTTCCTTACATATAGACATTGAAAAGCAGTAGGCATTTCACTGGGTAGCTGGGGTAGGCAACAAAACTGTGTCCAGGCTGAAGGGTGGAAATACTCTTGAGTGCCTCTGGGAGCTGATACCAAGCTTCCCAAAGCTTCCTTGAGGGTGATTGTCACCTGGGAGCTAATCATGATCATGATGCCTGCCTGGGCATTGATTAATTTGGGGGTCACAATCCAAGTAGGAAGAACAACTGGGTCTGGGAACTCCTTAGTGGCTGTAGGCTCATTGTTCTATACTTGGCCTGAGAATGTCTCTTTGTGTGTTAATGAGAACTGTTAATCTTACTGTAATTAGGTATATAGACTTATATACCTATAAAGACTAGTCTTTCTTTTTGAACACACTAGTGTGTGCAACATTATCAATATGTTGACTTGTGCTTTGCATAACTTGTGTTCTGAAAGGCTTTAATTGCTTTGGAGCAACATCTTCCCCTCTCATCAGTGAAGTCTTTTTCATAGAATCATTTACGTTGGAAAAGACCCATAAGATTATCAAATCCAACTATAAATGAGAATTTAGTATTATTTATTGACATGATACGTGGTACTGTTGCCTGACCAACAGCACACTTGGGTAAAGAAACAATGGCTGGTGATCACCACTGATGAGTACTGATTTCTAGGAACCATCTGCAGAAGGGAGTTGCAACAGCACATTCAGAAAATGTAAATACACTTGAGAATGGCATATAATAGAATAGATTGGAACAAAAAATTGCCCTGTGCTCCTTGCCCTGCCTCCTCTGCTTTTCTTGGATTTCATCTACTGTAATTTTTATTGAAATGCTAATAGTGTTACCTAAAGTGGTTTTCAACACTACTAAGTTGAAATGGCATTAGCACCTAGTGGTTAGCCAATGCAGCAAAGCCAATATCCAATAAAGTGTTTCTTATAACACGGGGATTAGAAGATTTTATCTTGCAGGTGCCAGGAAATTTTTGCAAAATCTTCCCGTTGCTGGTGCCACAAGTTCCCATATTTCTTGGAGCAACAGAAGTCTGTATGTCAGGGCCTCTAGTACAGAGGCACAAAAAGCCAGGGGCTTACACCTCCAGGCCAAAAGCTGTCAATTAAAATAGTCATGCAGAATGCTGCCAGCACTGCTCTTCTCCTCCTTCTAATGCGTGGATGTGAACAGCTAATAGTAGTGGAGAAAAAGGGGAGTGATGTGTTAATTTAATGTAAAACAACCTCTGTATACTCAGCTTGATCACGTATTCTCTTGACATTGCTCAATTAATTGATTTATTCCTAATATTTCTGCACACTGTTGAGTTACTCTTCATTTATGTCTGTAATGATAAAATCTGCAGTTATCAATTTTTTTTTCCCCATAGAATGGTCTGAGACTGTCTATTCTTTGGGAGTGCACACTTTGGAAACTGTGAACTTGATTATAAAGACATCAATATCCAATTGCTTTTTTGTCATTATGCTACAGAGTGAATATTTGGTACAAATTTATGTTCATTTTTAGGAAGAAATTTTCAAATTGGAAACTATAAAAAGCCTAAGCAATTGCAGAATTAAATCTTATGTCACTGTTTTGTTGGCTTGGCCAGAATTCCAAATGTTTCTGTCTTTGACAGGGACCACAGATCGAAAGCATGAAATCAAGAAGATACCACCTGAAAGGCCAGAATGTCTTCCTAATCGAACAGAAGAAAAAGGTATGAAATGTGCTTTCCTGCCTGTTCTCTGTAGAGAGATGAGGGAAATAGAACCAATGCACATCCTCATTTCCCACTCTCTGTTTCCATTAAGTGTATTGTTTGGATGTTTGTTTTCCACTCTGATAGACTGTGATGATAGGCATTTTAGAAAGGCTCTCATTGTTGCTTATGGACTAAATTCAGGGTGTTCAATTGTACCCATCCAGAGCTGTTGAGTACATGCAGTCACAACTGAAGTCAAGGGGAGATTTGCTCTCAATACATGAAATGCTGTATAAAACCCCATGAAATGCTCTGTAAAACCCAGGTGCTTGATCGAGTAAAATACCAGAGATTACTGTGTACTTTTTTCTTAACCTCTGTCTGCTTTGGTTCTCTAGTTGAAAGCTGGGTTGGTGGTTTTCCTGCATCACAAAGGGATTTTGTGGAGATATAGTCATTAATGCTTATGAATCACCCCATTATCATAGTCACAAAAGTCACAGGCAAGGCAGCGAAGAAATAAAAAAATTCTTCAAAGCCATGTTTGAACATTGCTAGAAATGGGACACAGTACCACACAGAGCAGGGACAAGCAAATTAAACCTTTAATGGTTTCATTGTGTTCATTGTGAATGGTGAATAGTCTCAGGAAAATAGTTACATCTATTCTCTAATTGAAGATGGTGTCAAGTTTCATACGTTAAGTGGACTATTAGATTGTATGAACAAGTTTGTTTGTGGGATTTCTTAATGTCTAAGTATTTGAACTTGCAGCCTTTTCAAAGGCACGTGTATGCACATGACTAAATGCAGAATGTGCAGTTATAATTTAGCGACAGAACTTTCAGACTTTGCACCAAGATCTCTTTCTGGATATACATCTTAGAAACCTGACAGGTGTTTTAGCTGTTCCTCTACACAGGTTTACTTTTGGTTATGTGTGCTTCTTCTCGTGGTTATCTTAGCAATAAAACTCTTTGCTTTCCATTTTTGGATTTACAAAGCTGACTGCTGAAAAAGCAGAGAAAATTTAAATATGTTGCTCCCCTGGGCTATAAATATCTGTAACTTTTCTAAACATTGAAAGGAGGCTGTAGGAGTGAAGCCTACATTTCAGGAATACCAGGGAGTGGCAGGAATCGCTCATGCGGTGTGGCAGCAGGGGTGGCACAGGAACATCCTTTGAGCTGTGTGTTGGCACACTGCCCAGCCTGTCCCTCATACAATTTAGATTCTTGGACACTGACACAGTACAAATTGTCAGAGGATTAAGTGTGTAAAAATTACACAGTATGCTGGAAAAGCTTCAGTGTTACTGAGGAGCCAATGACTGCACCTGCTCAGAGCATACTGCCTGTGAACAAGAGTCGCTAGCTGGACTATTCCAAACCTAAAGTGCATTGTGTTTCTGGGTACTTATTCCACGATCATCTCATTAATGGTTTGTCATTAAGAACCCATTAAGCAATGCCCTGGAACATTCCCAATACCTCTTATATGTGTACAGAGGTATAACATTCATGGCATATCATAGGCAGCATTGTCAAGGGAAGTGGGGTGTTGATATAGTAGGATATAGAGAGCAGAACTCTACTTCCTTGGAGAGTTTTGTCCTTCCTTTAAGAAAAATCAGGCCTTCTCTGGTGTGGCAAACATGCTTACATGTTTGTTTTGTATTAGGAATTTAGAGTATATTATTTAGAAAAGTTAATATGCACATGCACAGGCATTACATGTTTGGCATTGGATATTAACATGGCAGCACTCCCTAACTATGCATAATCAGTTCTGCAAATGATCAAGGTTTTCATCAGCAAGCTGAAAAATTCAGCATATAAGTCTGTGCTTAAAACCTAAATAATAGGTCTGATTTTTCTGAGAGGTTTATGTCCTGCTAGACATTGTATTTTTGTGCTTGTATTTTATTTTCACTTAACTGTAGTTCACTTGAAACATGCTTTTTTCCCCTCCAAAAATGGTATTTCTCTGTTTGCCCCAGAGATGTTAAGAATATCCAGCATAATTATTTTTGTGACCTTCTAAATTAATATTGTTTCATATTAAAATTTAATATAAGTTGTGCTCATGGGAAGTTGTACCATATGGTATGTAATTTCTTGCCATTCTTCTACTTTACAGTCAGAAACCAGTAAGTTACTAAAATAAAAAATAGTATTCCCATTAAGACGCTGCACACTTGTTTTGGCTGAGGAGCTGCAGGCAGAACAGCCAGGCAGGTTGAACAAGTGATTTGTGATAAATATATCAAATAAAGAGTGATTTAGAACAGAAATGGAAAGGTTTTTTATTGCATGCAGTCTATCTACAGCTGAAGATTTCTTCTTTGAATGTAGACTTGTGAGTGCAAATGAATTCCACTTAATAATATCCCTGTTTTTTTTTTCTGGAAATTATTGATTTAAAGACAGATCAGAGAGAGAGCAAAAACAGTTAGACTTGCAGAAGCCTTCAGTTCCTGCTATACCTCCGAAGAAACCCCGTCCACCCAAAGCCAACGCTGTGAACAGACCTGGTACCTTGCCCCCGAGACGACCAGAAAGACCAGTTGTGCCTGTGACTCATGCAAGGTATTGCTATTCTTCTATCCAATGCTTTTGGGATTAGTGGGAAAACCACCCTTTTAAAGAATTTAGGTTTTACAGTTGATGTCCTGATTTATTTCACAGTAAACTGTATTGAAAGTACAAGAAAAAAAAACCCTTATAGTCATCTGGCTGCGTCATAACGATCTCCTCAATAATAACAGTCTTAGACTGTTCATGACTAGTTCATTTCTACTGATGCAATTCTACTGTTACTGCAATAGTGCAGAATGTGTGGGAAATACTTGCATCAGAATGTTAGTCTAATCTTGATTTTCTTAGTTTACCTTAAATTACTGCAGCTTAGCTTGGGCACTAAATCAGTGGCTTGGATTGTGCTTAGGAATAGCATTAGGCAATGTACGTTTCAAATACTATCAGCTGGTTTCAGTCTGCTTTCTTTGATCATTTCAGATCAAACTTTAGCAAAATACATGTCTTCACTGCTCTTTCAGCTGGTGCCACTGTAGAACAGTGCTGTCAAGTATTCATGCTTTAATGTTGGATGTCAATCTGCAGTTATATGATGCTTATTGTCAGAGGTGGTTACAGCCTTTGAGGAGCACCGAGAAACTGGACTTGCCAACACAAGTCCATTTATTCTTTGCTAGAGCAAAGGTTGCAGAAATTAAAGGCCTCACTGTAGTCCTAATTAAGTCTAGGTGACTACATTTTAGTCATCATCATCTGGGTTGTGCACTGTAGATTTCCTTTATGTATAGTGAATAGAGCTAGATGAAAACCAGAATAAAAACAGTGGTCTAAAATGGGCAAGCTGTGCATCCTGCCAGAAAACTAGAATATAGTCATGGAAATATTTTTGCTGTTTATTGTACTGTTAGGAAAATTAGCTACCATTGAACTACTGGACTTAAAGTATAGTAATGGTGAGTTAAATACTGGAATAGAGTATAGGTTAGAGTGAAATGCTAGACATTGGTTCTCTTCATTCCTCCACATATGGTTAAATTTTAAAAATGCTCTTAGTGAGGAATCTAGGGCAAATTAAAAGGAAAAAAGGCATCTGCCTTGTGCTCCCAGTTTTATCTTACTGAAATACTTTGGTTGTACACCTCTGAGAACTTACCCTTGTATCTAGGTTCTACTGCCACATCTTCTTTTGGACTTGGCTTTGAACATGCCTGTCCAGTTGCTCCAAAATACAGTCCATACTTGCTGATCACCCGGGCGTACTTGGAAATACAAGTATTTGCTATAATCTTCAGATTTAGCTATGTGATGTCTTGGAAAGACCAATACATACCCCATTGTTCAGTTCTGGTGAGGTATGCACAGCAGTAGCTATTCTCTTGTTCTATCCTTTGCCTGAAATATTTTAAACATACTATAATTTTTAAGCATTTAGAATTTTGGAAGGGTATTTTGCTGCTCTTCTGTTTTCCTTTTTTTTTTTTTAAGTACAAAGTTGTATGAAGTAACCATGTATTTTTTAAAGATATTTCAATTTTTACATTATCAAAGGCAGAAGGCACACCTAAACAGTAATCTTTTCATGTTCTTAATTGTCTAAACTTTGCTATGTCTAGCACAGAAAAAATGGAAAATACTTTGAATTGCTTGGATAATTAAGAAATAAGAAACTTGAGGAAGCCGTCACTTCAATAAAGGTGTTTTTTTTTAAATCCATTCAGCTTAATAGGATAGCAATTATTTTAAGACTTACTGGTATCCATTTCCAAAATCTGAATAACCTAAAGCAATTAGAATAAAAATTAAATCAGAAGAACTTTGGCTCACCTGTTGTGGTTTAACCCTGGTGGGCAGCTGTGTAGACACTCACTCACTCCCCCACAGTGGGATGGGGGTGAGAATTAGAAGGGCAAAAGTGAAAAAACTTGTGGGTGGAGACAAGGACTATTAAACAGAAGACGCAAATGATGCATGTGCAAGCAAAGCAAAGAATGCCATGGGCAGGTAGGTGTTCTGCTATCCCCTAGAAAGCTGGACTTCATCACCTGCAGTGGTGACTTGGGAAAACAAATGGTGTAACTTGAAACATCCCCCACTTCCTTTTTCCCTCACCTCTAAGTGCTGAGTATGATGCCATGTGGTGTGGGACATCCCTCAGTCAGTTGAGGTCAGCTGTGTCCCCACCCAACTCCTTGTCCACCCCCACCCTCCTCTCTGGTGGGATGACAGGAGGAGCAGAAAAGGCCTTGACTCTGTGCAAGCACAGCTCAGCAATAATGAAAACACCGCTCTGTTATCTATGCTGTTTTCAGCACAAATCCAAAACATAATACCATGCAAGCTGCAATAAAGAAAATTAATTCTATTCCATCCAAAACCAGGACGTGATCCTTAGGGGAAAATTGCTGTAGTTACAAAGTGAGTCCCGTGAGATTTCCATGGCAGCTGCTAAGCCAGAGAGTTTTCTTCTGTCCTGAGTAAGTGGCTTGCATCTTATGCACCTCACTGACTTTTTGTAGTGATGGTTGTTTTCCCATTTAAATATAATCCTCCTTCAGTGGAGGCAGAGTAGGTCTTCAAGGGCAATAGGACAGATAAAAACCATGTGGAACAGGGAGTAGCTGTCAGTTTGTTCCAAAGACTTTGCAGCTTACTTAGACATACCGTGATTATACAATTTACATCTAAGTCAAATCTATGGAGTAGGTAAGCCATAAACACCTATAGAAGGTGCATCTTTGCAATCAGTTTAAACCAGTCCATGTCCATACCACTGCTAACAGGGTTCCTTGTCCTGGCACCCCATTCCCGCAGCCTCCCTTATGTTTAGCACAAGCATTCGTGCAGCTGCGTAGCCATATGGGTCAGGGAGTTGCTCCAGATGGCAATTAATCCATTTGCAGTGGGACTTCTATTAGTGTGGAGTTTCTCTCAGGCTGATCATGTCTGGTCAAGCTGACAGCCTGTCTGTATGGGCACGAGCAGAGAGGGACACACTGTGAATGAGAAGGGAGGGTTCCACTCTTCAAAACTGTGTGAATGCAGAGTGGCATAATAAGCCTGTTAATTCTTCTGAGAACAGGGCTGGAGTTTTTTTTATGGGGCTGTTGTCATATATCTTGGTATCTTTTGTAGAAAAATGGTAAACATTGTGACTTTCAGCCCTAAATCATACCATTCTAAGAATCTCTCCAGCGCCATACTCACACATTTCCTAGAGTGTTTCCAGCTCACATTGTGCTCTCAGATTGCTGGGAAATGTATGTGTACAAAACAGAGTATGCAGTCAGATGCTCATTGCTCTGTCAGCCAAGAACTATTGCTTCTTATAGATTTACAAATATATAAGCAATATAAGAAAAAGTTAAAGTCTAAAAAATAAGAAAACTAATTGTTTGGGTAGATCTCTTGTAAATACTCTTATTTATCATCTTTCCAATTAATACATTTTTCTATGCATGTGTTAAATTTCTTCTGTGTCCTTCCTGGTGCAGACTGCCTGCCATATTGAGCTGTGAAGGACTAGTTTGCTTTTAATCTGATTGTCTATATTTTTTTGTTCACTTGTCACACAGGATTTAATGGGATATATATTCACTTAATCTGTGACTTCCTCTGGGTTTTAATAAAAATTTTCAGCTCTTTATCACAGCCTTCCTGAAGCCTGAAATAGGGTTTCCAGCCACTTTGTGTTTTGCTTATAAGCTGCTGCCATGAGTTAAGGTTCAGGCCATCTGTCATCAGCTTATGGTATCAAAAGCAGAGACCAACAAAAAAAAGGAGCGAGATTTTTAAGCTCACTACGTATTTTACTGTCAACAGCTAATTATTGCATTGCATCATACATATCTGCCTGGGTTGTTTTGGGGCAGATCTATATTTTTATCCCTAAATCGGGTACCTTAATTACATCATAATTCTTATAGTGTTACACTGGGAATAGTCATAGTGGAAAAACTACTGTATTTGTCAAGTGACCTGATAATGATGGCAAGTACAATGTATAACATTAAGTGAACAGTTAATCACAGTAGATATCAGAGATTTGAGTGACCTGTGCAATACTGAGTTACTTGCCTACCACTGTCTTTTGGAGTTTTTTTTATATTGTTTCAATTGATAGATTATTTTAGTACACTTGTAGTACTTGTGGAAAACAAGTTTTTATTTTAGTACACTTAGTACTTGTGGGATAGAATGTTCTCCAAAGCAGGGATAATTTTCTTGCTTTTGTTTCATCTCCTGTTTGATTTTAAAATAGGTCCTCTGTATAAAGTATTGTAGCTCCTGACACTTTATTATTCAAAAGACATTTCTGACAAATTAGGTGATCTTGGTTCTTTGGACTGTAGAAACAGTATTCATAGTCTAGTCTCATAAGAAAAATGCAAAGACATGGTGGAGGAGTTGCATTTATGAGTAAGTACTCGGAACTTCTGAGATGTACAATTCTCTCACTTTCTGCAGCATTCCAGGTAGTCCACTGCTGTAGTTTGTGCAAGCCAATTAATTAGAAAAAACTACAAAGAAGATGTTGAAGAATGTCCTCTTGCCCTTAGGTTTCCTTCATGTTGAGATGCTGTGAACATCTGAAGAATTATTCCGGACGCTACGGTGTCTAAAATAGGCTTTTTTGACAGGTGTTAAGGAGAAATGAGATAAGGTTAATCCATACAGCATGTCGACTTGCTAGAGATTGCTCTCGCTGACATTGCTATTACTCTGGTGCTGCAAAGGAAGAATACTTCGTTCTCTCATTATTAATTGCAAGTTAGCTATCAATTTACTGTAACCCACACAAAAACTCCCAATAAAACATCTCCTCTTCTTGATCCAAATGCAGGAGTGATAGTCCAAAAGTGGAATTAGTGGGCAGTACAGTATCCGGCACTCTAGAGAAAGACTCCTCTGAAAGAAGCAATGACATCGGTAAGTTATGGTGCTTTCTACAGTTTGTCTAAGAAATTTATGGTGCAAGTTTCTGCTTTTTTAGTGACTGTTGTATGATTCAAGAGGCAGATTGAGGATTTGGCAATGAATGTGAGTGCTCTTATATCAAATTTTAACTGCAGGATTAAAGGATCATTTCAACTTTACTTAAAATAGTTTTGTTGGGGTTTAAAAAAAAATAAAAGCAAATATGGAATAGTGAGCTATTTTGAATAGGAAGGCTCTGTTGTTTTTGTTTAAAAGTCTGAAACGAGCGAGAAGTCCAACAATAATTAGGCATAGTTGTTTAACTGATGTAATAGTGCTGCCATGGTTTTAATACTGCAAAAGATTGTGGGCTTGGTGTAGTTAGTAATCTTTACACTTTCAGATACAAAGGAACAGAAACACAGTTCAGGTCAATTTGACTAAATTTTACTGCACACACCAATTAAAAGCAGTCTCAATATCTATTGTAAACAACTTCTGTTCCTGACCTATCAACCATTTATTCAGGAAGTCACCTGGAAAGGAGCAACCACAGGTTATTTTTCAGTCTTCTCTCACCCTCCTTCCTGCTCAAGCTGGCAAAGCAGGAGCGATGGTGTTTGCTGGGTGGGTGCTGCAGTGCAAGGTGCTGTGAGCGCTGTCCTGGGACAGTGGGCACGAGCCCCAGAGCCATCTTCTGCCTCTGCTCAGAGAGCCCAGCAGCTGCTGCCGTCGCTCTCCACTCGCAGCTGTGCCCACAGACCCGTGTTTGTCACAGGCAGAGCCCGGGATCCTGCCTGAGTAAGCATTGCTACCTTTCACCGGGGCATGAAATGTCATTTTGGCGTGATGGTTTATTAGTAAATAATAAAGGCTGCTTTATTAGTAAAGCATTTCTGTACACTAGCATCCTCTCAACAGCCAAGCACACCTTTTCCTCTGATTTGGAAGCAGAACTTTAGGTTATAAAGGAATTTTAATTGCAATGTTACAACAGAACACTAAATGCATTTCACATAGGTCTATGAGCTTTCCAGCACACATATATCTGCTTTTTGTAAAGCTTCTGTTGCTATGGTTCTTCTGGAGTAGCAGGTAGTATCTTTTTCCCAGGTTCTCATTTGGCTTAAATATGGAAAGCTAGAAGCTCTTGATAAATTGCATGAATGTTTTTATTGTAGAGACTCTTAGAAAGGAATGGTATGGAAATGCAGACAAATTCTACCATTTAGTTTTCCTTAACTATGTTTACAAATTTGCTTCAAAGCACATAAGACTCTGCTTACTTGAAATTTATGATGCATGTAGCATATGCTACCTGTGTGTGATGGAAATAAACTTTTTATTCCTTGTTCTAGTTTCCTTGGAACCACTATCAGGATAAACACTTAGAGTGTTCTGTGGTTTTTAGTTTTGCTGATTATGGTTTTATTTTGTTTTATTCTTAACATATTAGGCAGGAGATCTTACTTATAGGAATTCTTGTTCATTTCCAGGACATGGAGGGTGAGAGGAGGATAGTGGGGGGAAGAATTTGGGTTGTTTTGGAGGTTTTTTAAAGATGCAGAATTGGAGCCAACAAGAACCCACAAACTAAGCCACAACATGTTGCAAAGGGTTTAGCTGATGTCCTCCTGTTACCACTTACACAGAGAACCTATTGAGCTCAAGGATAAAATAGTGTGAATACTTAAATAAGTATAACTTGAGAGGGTCAAACCGGAATGGCATTTACAAGGGCAAATCATGTCGTTCTAGCCTGTTAGACAACTTGTTAAAAGAAAAAAATAAATAAATTATGGTTTTGAATTGAAAGGGGATCCAGAGATCAGAACTGTTATAAATTTTCAGGCAGCTTTTGACAGCTTGTGTAAAATACTGTCAAATAAATAAAAGACATTTTAAGAGAGGGCAGAGCAATAAATCAAGATTCAATAAAGAAAACTAATTCAGAGTGAATTAATGTCTTTTTCTGTGAGGAGAGGTTTGGAGTTCAGAGCAGTTTATGGTGCAATGTAGTTGTAGAGATGTATGGTGTGTGATTTTGTTTCATTTACTTACAAAGAGAACAATGGGCTGGAGAAGTCTTGTGGCTACACGAGTTATTAGAAAAGATGATGGATGTGTGAATGGAGTTGTCCAGTGTATTCCAAAACACTGGTAGATCTGGCTGTATGAGTCCAAATAATATTTAACAGTGATATATCTTACTGGTTTTGCCCCTATGTCGTGTGCTCTGCAGGAAGGACAACCTCAGCTTCTCTGAGGCTCATCCATCCTGTCAAAATTGATTTGATTAAATCTACCATTTGGTGTCTTCTCAGAAATCCAGATTTACACAACAAGTTAGAGTGGACCTACGTGACAGACAAGGTGTGACTTAGCAGTAGCCTTTGAAGAATATTGAAGTTAAATGGCCTTTAGCAGCTTGGATGCATGACCAGTCTGGTTACTGGGCTCCTCTTTATTGTTCCATTAGTCCAATGCCATTCCCAGCTCTCAGGGAGAACAGGGGGAAAAGCAACAATCACTTGCAAGTTGCCTCACCCTCTTTCATGCTTATGCTAAGTACTCATGGTGAATTGTGCACTGAAAATGAATACCACAGCACCTCCTGCCTACTTTGCACTAGAGATGTTAAGCTGGGAAGTGGCTGCCACTTTCTTAGTCCTATAGCCAGTCCAAAATTCTTGTTCCCTTCATGCAGAGCAGAGAGATGGACAAAAACAATGGAGAGACAGTTTTGGTTACTAAAGCAAACCAAACTAATGCTGGATGGAGAAAGTTATTTATTCTGTGAAGGATTTTTAATGATTTCTAAGTTGGTTCCTTTTCTTTTCTATGATGAGACCAAAACCAGTGTGACGGGAGGAGAAAATGCAGGGTTCTTCCATGTGCCATCTCTCAAAAAATAAACAATTGGTCAGCAACAACGAAATCAGTAATGCCATCAACAACTGAGTGGCAATATGCTGAGCTGAATTGGGAATCCAGATTCAAAACTTGCATTTTGTCTAGGTCCCTTGGAAATGGCTTTTACCTGATTATTTTCTGAGTAGTATTTTACCAGTGGGTCAATGTTGTCTAACCAGAAAACCCCACTCTGTTAAAAACTTTCTCTGCCCCCTTCACCAATCGGGAAAATCACAAATGCTTGAGCAAGGTTGAGGTGATGTATAATACTGTAAATAATGTTCTGTGAGTTGCATATATATAAAAGTTATTTTTATATAGATAATAGCTCATGACTTGGTTTCCTTAACATGTTCAGCAGAGCTGTGACTTCACATGTAAATTTCTTGATGATAATTGTGTGCTGATTATGATTTTCCAAACTGCACTGACAAGAGAAAATTCTTCTTAGCAACTTCACTGCTGATTGTAGGTATAATGGCAGCTCTTATTTCTGTTGTCCATGCATTTACTTCATTTCGCAATCTTTACAAAAGCCATTGGAAATCTAGTCTTCAGAATATATTATCTAAGAGGAACATTCCCCATTCCTCCTCACTTTTTTCTTTTGTTTTCTTTTTCCCTGTTTTCAGTGATGTCTTTACTTTCCTTTCCACACATCTTGCATTCAACTTTTCCTATTTACATCTCTTTGCTATGGCTAACTCTTCTTCATTTCACAAGGGTAAGGCTTTTTTATTTTTCCACTTTTCTATCCTGTCTTTGGTTTAGTTCACAATGCAAAACAAGAAAATGCAAAAAGAAGCATTCTGTAGAATAACAAAGTTTACATGGATATTACAGCGGTTTTTTTTAACTAAAAGTTGAAATTGATCATACTGTGACAGAAAATCTTGCATCATAGTTTTTAAATGAGAAATCATTATCATTTAATATATCATAAGAAATTTCAGTGACAAAAGTGACAATTACAATTTACACGTGGTGTTTTTTCAGTGCTCTGGATTCATTAACCTGTTCTTGCAGACAGGTTTTGTCATCACAAAGTGTAATGCATATATTTAATTGTGCAAAAGCATTTAGAAACATACTAGTATAGTCTTCTAGTCTGAAAGAGGAAAAAATCACAACAAACATACGGTAAAAATCTGAAGAGTGTTCAGGGGCACTCAGTGGAAAATGTGTGGTCATGTACCCAAGGCTGTGGTTAAATCACAGTGATTACTCACCTCTGTTGGTTCATCTCTACCAACAACTGGTCTGGATTGGCAGTGGCTTTTTGAGCTTTTAAAATGTCTCTAAAGCAACATAAGCTACACTGACAATAAACCCTGTTCTACAAACTGTTGTTCCTACATAGAGCTACATTGATTTCAACAGCTTCAATTCATGCCTTATGGTATAACTTGACCTGTCTTTAGGTGACATGTTTGTCTTTAATTTCATAAAGAACTTTGTATATGAGGGCCAGTGTGATGACAGAAACTTCTAGCACATATAATAGCTTAGTGGATGTAGTGGGTTGAGCACTGGCCAAACACCAGTGTACCTACCAAAACAGTGAATCAAAAACTAATGCTTTCCAAAAAATGGTATTGGATTATTTCTGCAAGTCAGGATCAATCCTAAGTCTTCTAACTATACACAAACATACACTTTGGAATCCTGGAATCCTGAAACAAGTTTTGTCTATCCAAAGCAGGGTTGCTTTGACATCATCTAATACTTAAAACCACATGGATTTAAGCTAAGTGATTCAAGAAATAAGCCACAAAGAATTAAAAATAATGTACCTACTGTGGAAATGATCAGTTAATGCCCACAAGAAGCAGTTTCTGTGCTTTGTAGAAAGACTGACTTGCACAGAGCCAAGTGGATATATCTTTCCAATATTTTTCCTGGCTCTTTACACATTTTGCTCAGTATTTATGAAAGCAGTTAATAATCTTCACCAGTGCTAACATAAGGCACAGATGCCTTCATTGATTCCTACTGAAGCATCTAATGATGGTATGAACTATAGTAAGAGCTTCCCTGGAAGATGGTTAATGCAAGACCATTTCTTAGCATTTCCTCACTTTAATCTGCAGACTATTTGC